TTCACCCCACATGTCCAAAGAAGGCCCACGGAGGTCATCAGAGAGGCTTTGCTCATTAGAGTCATTCACAGATCCGGAGTGACGGAGATTCCGAGTTGCCCCGTGCTTCCCTCACCTTCACGTCTCCCCCTGGTGATGGAAGTAACTTCTGCTCACATCGCATTGGCCACAACAGGTCATAGGGCTCTGCGGGGCTTCAGCGCCAGCAGGAAATGGGACCCTTCCCTGAGCTCAGGGGGAGGAATGGGCTCTCTGAATGGCCCCGGTGGCCACCGCGCACTAGCTGTGGGATGCGAGGGGGATTGGCAATGAAATGGGGCCCAACACGTAGTGTCTGATTTATAGTAGGAACTTGAACAGATACTTATTTTTGAACAAATGGAGATTGATTGATTGAATGAATAAAACCTGGAGGGGACCCAGTAATGAACAATGGATTCAGATGAAACACAGCGCTTTCAGGGGCTCGAATAATTTTGAGTTTAGCTCTGCTCCAGTGCCTTTCCTCCCTCCCGCAGGGGCCTTTATTCCTACCTTCGAAGTCATCTGCGTTTTCAAGGTTTCTAACGCATAGGAGGCCCAGAGCCCCACTTATGGTCACCATTCACCATGTCTCCTAAATTGACGAGCCACTGATCACTGGCTATTAGATTCAGTCAACTTTATTCTTATCTTCCTAATTCCCCTCCCCCCCCTTTTTTAGTGTGGTTACTGTTGAGCTCAATCAAACCCAAAGTTCTCTACTTGTTCTTTGTCCTATAGCATCCACCCTCGAGACAAACAGACGGTGGCCTACAGGCTGCACTTGGGGGCCCGAGCTGTGGCTTATGGTGAGAAGTTGATCTTTCAAGGACCTCTGCCTGAGAACATGGAACTCTTGGCTGACAAGGGGCTGCTCAACCTCACATATTCGCTGGAAATCCAGGTGCAGAGGCAGCACAATATATTTGAGGTGAGAAGAATAGTTGAAACAGTAGGTGTGCATCCTGTGTGGGGAGTCAGGATTTTCTCCACACTGAGGCCCATCTCTTTAACTATAACATTTCTGTGAGGCAGAACTTGGTTTTTATTTTTTTTAATTTTTTAATTTTTTAAAAATTTTTATTTATTTGACAGAGAGAGACACAGCGAGAGAGGGAACACAAGCAGGGGGAGTGGGAGAGGGAGAAGCAGGCTTCCCGCGGAGCAGGGAGCCTGATGCGGGGCTCAATCCCAGGACCCTGGGATCATGACCTGAGCTAAAGGCAAATGCTTAACGACTGAGCCACCCAGGCGCCCCCAGGGCTTGGTTTTTAGTAGGGCGGAGTTTATCTCAGAAGGGTGGCTGAGTAGCTATTAATTCTTCCACTTAGTGGCAATTTTGATAGGACAATCAAGGAAAAGGAATTCACATTAAAATACTCCTTTTGTATTTTCGCTCCCAGAGCAACCATCTTTGCTGTGGCGAGGGCCTGTGGCTTAATGTATAGGTTCCCTATTGAAAGATTCCTTACTCCCGAGTATTTCCCTCATCCTTGGATGTCTTTTTATGTCACACTATCCCACATTCTGATATTCTTTTGAGCTTAGTGTCTCCTTTGAGGGGCTTAGCTTGGGGATTTGTAACTCAGTGTGAATTAATGTGATGAAACTACTTTCTTCTAGTACCTAGCGAGGATCATTCCACTGTGGAACTAGGGCAAACAACGAACGAACGAGCTTATGTAGGGGTCTTCCACAGTTGGGGGTGCGGGGGGAGGCATTCCTCTTGCAACATGCCGATGAGCGTCTCTGGGAACCACGAGGCCACCAGGCTGGATGGGGCGGGTGGGGTATGAGAAGAGGGCACTGGAGGGCATGAAAGAACATGAAAGACACACCTGAATTACACCTGAGTTTTTATCTAGGGCTGCCCCTCCTCTGGAGCCCCAACTACCACATCCACTGGCCTCAGGGGCTTGGGCGGCACTTACGCCCCTGAGCTTCTTTGGACACTGGGTCTGAGGTAATTCTAGCTCCCCAGAAGTCTCCATGCTGAGTTCGGTTCTCCCCTGTAGTCAGTTGCTGGCAGTCTGCCCGTCATCTGGACCCGGAACCATAGTTGGGAGCAGGACAGAATTTCACCTGTGGGTGCTGGATACTTTATGTCCCCTTCCTTGGATTGCTTTCTGGTTGGAGAAAGGCTTATTATCCAAGGTCCCTTTGTGCCCCTTCCTCGTCCCGTGGCTCCTTGGGGAGGCCAGAGTGCTCACAGCAGCTGGACCGCTCCACTGAATCAGGTCCTGCGTGCTTTGCCATCTGGTCGGAAGGATCACAGCAAGCACGTCCAGGGGAGCCTTCTCTAGAGGCTCTGTGTGATCATGCCTCCCTTTCTCCCTCAGTCATTGAGCCGTTTGTTTACCGATTGATTTTATCACCTGTATATTTCTCGTCACACTTTGGCTGTGTTGACCAAACCCAGCGTGGACTCAGGTTTGTTCTGGTTATCATAGGCAGCGGGTCCTGGGCTAAGCGTGGCTCCTCCTCTCCCTCCTCGTCTGTCTGATGAGCAGTTCCCAGTCTCTTGGCCTGGCCTGATGTTACGATTCTCTTATTAGATCTCGTGTTGCAGTGACCATCAGTGCAAGTGGCTGCCAGCTCCCCTGGACACGGTCTCGGCCCAGAGCCTGGCCCTGAATGTCCGTTCTTGCCGTGGCACCCCGGCCGCCCTGCGCTACGCCTGGGCCACGTGGCCTTGTGAATATAAGCGGTGCCCCGTGTACCACCCCGGCAGCGCCCTCCCGGCTCCTCCCTTCGTGGCTTTCCTGGCAGACCTGAGGCCGGGGGGCCACCGCAGGCTTGCCGAATGACGTAGCGGCCTTACGGTCCTTCTCCTGGGCTTCAGTGTGGGTCCTTTAGATTTGGGCATTTCAGTGTTGAAGTGATGACGACAACTATTGCTTTTAAAGGCGGCTGGTAGAAAAGCCGCCTCGGCCGGCTCCCAGCCAGCACATGGCTGTTTCTAGATTCTGAACAGGAGATGAGCCAGTGCCGAGAGGCAAACGAGATGCTTGCCTTTAGTCCCCTCATCAGCCTAGTGTCTTACTGGACTAATTCCCAACTACAGACAAATGAAGCCTCAGTGGAGAGGCTTGTAGAGAGTGTGAAGTGTCACACTTTGTCACCTCACGTCTGGAAGAGATTTCAAGGCTCATATTTGTGTGTTCTTTACAGACTCTGGCGGGTGGTTACTGAATCTCTGCATAAAGTTTCTGAACTTCCCAGCAGGTTTTCCTTATGTGGAACTGAACTCTTTCTAGCCCTGTTTGTGTTCTCTCGTAAGCCAAAAACAGTTCTGTCCCTTTGGTCGAAATAATGATAATGTGAGTGTTCGAAACCAACCAGCCCCGCGTGCAGGCCTGTGGGGAGGTGCGAAGGGGCTGCCTGAGGGAGGAGGAGATGGGGGTTCTGGAGCGGCCCAGGAAGGCGTGCGGGCAGCCAGGGACGGGTGGGGGAGTCAGGCTCCGGACAACATGGCAACAGAGGTCACTGAGAAGCAAACAGGTTCAATATAAATCTCAGGCTTTTTAAGGTAAGAGGTTTACCTATAAAAAGGATAACCCAGCTGGAAGAAAAAAAGAGGCTGAAAATAAAGCTCCATGATAAGTGTTTAGGAAAATAATCCAGATGGGACAATTGTGAAAGTGTGCTCTGGGTGGACTGTTAAGAATCATAATGCTTTTTACTGGTTGACTAACAGCTAACAGCACTTGATAATTGTGTCATCTATTGGAAATTTGGAAATAAAAGTATAATCTTTAGTGGCACGTATACATTTATAGCCCATCAAAACTGGGTTAGGAACAGGTTTGTAAATTGTCCTTTGAAGCATGAGTAGCTTCCACTCCCTTAATGGGAAAAAGAACTAAAACAAGAAGCACCTGACCCCAAGGGGCCCCAGTATAGCTCTGAGCATCCGGAACAGTCAGCGCCAGGATTTATTTCGTAGAAAACCAACACAACTATGCAGTCTACAAGGAACTTTGGCTCCTCTGAGGACTTCCTAGTGTAGAATTAACTCCCAACACCCATACTTTGACCTCATATGCATCTGACCTAAGGGGAACCACGAACCTAGGAACAGACTTCTGAGAAAAAGTAAATCTACCCTCCCCTCTGCCAACACACATGCACACAGGGGCTGTTCTAATTTGCAGGCGGCTCGACGTGGGCAGGAACCCTATGCCCAGGCTCCTTCCTCCCCCAGTAACTGAGTGAAGCACAGGGGGAAAATTAGCTTCAGGTAGTAAATTAATGAGAAGTCATGTGGAACTTCATTTTTAATGGCTGAATAATTTAAAACATTCTGCAGGAATTCAGTTTATTTTCCAAATGAAAATAACTTTTTACTATTTGAAAAATGAAATTTGTAATTATTGTAGATTTGGACACTAACAAAAAGAATAAACAAGTAAAAGTCACCCCAAAATTCATCATTTGGCAAAAAACATTTACTATTTTGGTAAACATTCACTTGATTTGCTTGGGCTATATTTTACACACTACACGTCATATTATTTTAAATCTGTTTTTGACTTACTCTAGTAAAATACTCTTCCTATGTAAATTGAATATAGCTTAAGTGTTTTAGTTTGTGGGAGCCCCCTACTTTATTTAACCAATTTTCCATTAGTGGACATAGAGGTTTGTTCCGATTTTTCCGTTATAACGAATACTGTGATGAATGTTATATGCAGACATCATAGCGCACTTACCTCCTTAGGATCCTTAATGTGGAATAACAGTTTTAAGGAAAATATGTTTAAAATTTTGATACCTACAGATTAACTCTCCTGAAGGGTCCAACGGTCTACAGTCCCACCAAGGTAAAGTGCCCACCAAGGTATAGCGTTTAGCCTCACTCCCAGCGACACTGGATATTGTCAAATTTAAATCTTTAACAATCCAGTAGATGAAAAGATGTCTTAAGTATACGGGGGTGGGGGGGTGGTTCAAGTTTTTAAAAAATGATCCACAGTAAAAACATTTTATATTTATTCCATGTACCCCTTTCATGTGTATGCATGTGATTTTTACATAAATACATTATGTACACACTATAGTTGAAACCCAAATTTCAGCGTTTGGACATGTGACACATTCTACTAAGTTCTAATTGTTTTATTTAATTTAAAAAACAGAGGTCTTGACTCCCTAGGTTTAGGAACAAGCAGTGGGTGGAGATCTGTAGTTTGAAAACCACTCCTCTAGGAAGGCTACAAAGTAAATACTCTTATTAAAGCAAACAGCACGATAACTTATTTAAAAAATGTCTTCCTTAAAATGAGCTCGTTTTGGCGTGTTTCACTCCGACTGCGCTACAAGGGGAAGACCCTCGCTCCGTGTTCAAGCAGCTGTCCCGTCTGCGCAGGCGCGCGTCCAGCCAACTTAGGCGGCGAGGAGAGGAAGGCCTGAGAGCACGGACAGCTCTGAGTCATCCCCTTTGAGCCCCTGGCTTGCTGTTATCCAGATTTTATTTTTTTGTACTGTGAAAGCTACACAGACTTATAAAAGACTGCAGTGAAGAGTCATAAAGTGAACGGCGGTTACTTTAGTTTCGGGTACTTCCATGGCCAGTGCGCTGTGCACTTAGCGTGGCTGTCCGACCCCTCCCTCCGCCGGCGCATCTACTCCTGGGGCACAAGATCCCCCTTCTTGTTGTCCCCAGTCAGCAGCTAGGAACTGCAGCACAGCGACACCTGTCACCACTCGTTCCCCGGTCTTCCCCTTCTGGGGTCCTTCCGTGGCTTCCTTCTGGCCGGCCCAGGTACCTGGCTGGTGGCCAGCGAGGGCAGCCCACACGGCTCTGCTGTGGTCCGGATCAGGCGAGGCGGGAAAGCCCCCCCTCGGCGTCATGGGCAGGGCCAACACATCCAGTTGCATAGAATGCAGTCATGTTATTAGCCGGCTAGTGAAGGGACGGGGGGAGACTGCCGCGCGGGATGGGGGCCGCCCCCCGACACGCTGTATCTCTGTTATCATGTGCACTCAGTTTATTCAGCGACAAGCACATTCTCAGATAAGGAACAGCAAAGGGGGCGGACAGGATTACAGAGGACTTTTTGATTTCCTTGAAGGATGTGACGTGTGAAGGAGAAGATGAACGGCGTGCCTCAGCCTGGCCTCTCCAGCTTGGGGACAAGTAGCACTGGGCTGTGATCCTAGCGACATGAAAACAGAGCAGCTTCTTGGGTAGCAGGGGCCAGGACTTCATTCCTGGAGCTAGGAGCAGAATCCAGGGGCAAGGCTTTCAGATTCGTACCTCTCCCTCCCAAGTCAGCAGCCTCCTCTCACTCGGGCTTACAGAACACTTAAGTTTACCTCAGGCAGGGCTACGCAAAAAAAAAAAAAAAAAAAAAAAGGAAAAAAAAAATCCTGATTACAACAAGATGAAAATAAGCAGATTTGTAAAGAGAAATTTATTGCTAAAAATAAAGCAGCTGAAGTTTTTCCCAGGGAACAGTGTCACCACAGGAGCCTCCGTGACAAAATGTGTTGGTATCTCCTTCGCTCCTGAAGTGCTGTCTTCTTCCATACCTGGAGTTTTACTTTAAGTTAAATGACATGCTATGCGACCCCCTCCTGCTCAATCTGAAGATGGAGTTGGGCTACACTGTGACAGAGACTTCAGATGCTGCAGGTGAGTGTCCACCAGGGGTTCATGGAACACGGGTTCGTAAGAAGACACGAAGGGTGTGGGCTGAAGCTCTGGAAGGTCCAAGGATCCTGGAGAAGAAAATTCCTTCAGTTCCACTGCTGCCTGGGAATCTCAGGGGACTAATCAAGACACACGGATGTCCTTTCAATTTCTAACACCCTTAACGTCTGTCAGCCGAATCTTGCGCTTGTTTGGTAAGATAGGACAGAAACTTAACTTTTCCAACGAAGAAAACCGTGGCCAAGACAGATTACGTGATTTGCCTAGGGTTATACAGTATATGAGAGGGAGAGAGTGAGAATTTTAATTCTGTTATTTCCAGTCCAGAATTCTCCCTGTATCACCCAAGGCCAGATCCCTGATCGTTCCACCCATTCGTGGCAGGGAATCTACTGAACACAGGCAGGACCAAGGCCATGACCTGGTCCCCTTGGCTTCATTTGAAATTTTAGTCCTGCATAGTAGACTCTCCCCTGGAGCCCCGCTTGGGTCTTACTTAGGTTAGAAAAAGAGAAAGCCTAATTTCTCCGTGGGCCCCGCCTCACCCCGATGGCGGCCGCTCCCCGTGACTGCCCCTATCACTGCTGGGGAGCTTGGCAGGCCAGCCAGCCCGTCCTCGCGCCTGGGGCTCTCTGTGGTCGGCGCGGTGCAGTTTCTATCCCTTGCTGCCCAGCTATTTGCAGTAGTCAACTCTGAATGAAGAGCAGAGGACGGCCTAAAAACAGTCCATTTTCAAACCAGAAGGTAAAGTTAAGATACCTTGCAGAATGGGATCACTATGACCTTCACCAAAGGCCTGTCTCTGAAAGGCTTCGAAGCTTACAGTTGCATCATTCTCTGGCAGTACTTGGGGCGGCTGCCCGTCTCCGGGTTTCCATACATCAAATTTCACCCACTGGTAACTGCAGGATCAAGGGACATCATTGTAAGGGGTGTCTGTTAGCCGTAATAACCCATTCTGACTTCCAGAGAGATCAGGTATTTTCTCCTCTAAGTCTCTCCCATATATATCTAAAAGTCATATTAACAAACTAAGAGAAGATTGGTCTCTGCAGGACTTCGCAACCCTTCTGCTGTCATGGTACTCACAGACACTGGTAATTCTAGTGCCGTGAGGGGCTGGCTCCTGCTCACTTGAGGCTGAGGACTAACACTGAGGCACACTGGCCACGGAGCAAGCACACTCTGCACACAGAAGCAGCTCAGTAAGCGGAAGAATGAGCGAAGCAGTAACTGCCAGTCACAGTGCTTCTCTCAAGGGAATGGATTTGATCACACTTACTTGACGCATTTTCGAGCTCCTGGACAACTCTGGATCAGGTTGTGAATAGTTGGATGAGAAAACCCAAAAAAGTCAGCTCCAGATGGAAGCAGGTTGGGCATTAGTTTCCCCCTAAATAGGAGAGGAAGGATTTGTAATTTACAAATCGAGATGGAGAGGAGAATGGGTTTAGGAATGGACCGTGGGTATGAATGCAGAGAACACACTTTCTTGACTTGGATACTCTGGAGAAATCCGAAGGATTTCTGGTAAGAAATATAAAGGATGCAGGATAGCTTTCTATAGATAGGGGATCTTCAGACATTAAACACAAGGAAAGTCTCACTGTACCACAAGTGATCTCTTTAGACTTGTCTGTCTTCAAGCTTCAACTTACATAGCAGCACTTATGGTCTTGAGCAGTTCTGCGTGACAGGCGTCTGCAGAAGAGGTGACAATGGCGTTCTGGGGGTCATCTTCAGGAACAATTTCAAACTGAGAAAGATCAAAGGGCAATGAGATCAACCTTGAAGGAGGAAGTAGTAGAAAGTCATCCTACTCCTATAACTACTTCTTCACTCTAGATCTTGAAGCTGATGTATATGATACTAGAAGGTGGGCACAATTTCCTAGAGTGCTGTTAAAAATTCAAATGAGTCCAAGAAAACACAAAGTCCTCTGACTGTTTCAGTTCTATACACCTTGCCTGACGGCTCTCCAGTGACCAACACTTAATTTGCTACATACCTTTCCTATCTACTTACTTATATCTTTCAGTACAAATACAAATGGTATTTTTTTTTTATTTTTTAAAGACTGATTTATTTATTTTAGAGAGAACAGCACCAGTGGGAGGAGGGGCAGAGAGACAGAGAGAAAGAGAGAGAGGGAAAAAGCAGACTCCCTGCTGAGGGGGAGCCTGACTTGGGGCTCGATCTCATGACCTGAGCCAAAATCAAGAGTTGGATGCTCAACCAACTGAGCCACCTGGCACCCCACAAATGGTATTTTAGAAATACATGAGATCAAATAAGATCATGTAACCTTACGTTTACTTTGTAGTATCTAGGAGGAAGGCCATTTTTACCGCAAGCCTCGTTTATTTTTTGAATTGCAAAATATCCTGAAGCAAGTATCTGTAATACCTATATATCTGTCTATGTCTATAATATCCATAATATTGAAGCAAAATATCTATTAAAAAACCCCTTAAATCAAAATTATACTGAGGAATTTTTGCCAAGAAAGTATTTTTGTAACAAATACTATCTAGCCAACTTAATTCCTTGACCAGTTTTCTGTAAGTTCAGTGAATTTTTGCAAAGAAAATATTTCTGTAAGAAGTTCTATTTAGCCAGTGAAATTCCTTGACTAGTGTTCTATAAAGTTCTGTTAAACAGTACCCATTTTTCCAAAGAAGCCACACAGATGGCTAACAGACACATGAAAAGATGCTCAACATCACTCATCATCAGGGAGATACAAATAAAAATTACAATGAGGTATCACCTCACAGTGGTCACAATGGCTAAAATTAACACAGGAAATAAGTGTTGGTGAGGACGTAGAGAAAGGGGAACGCTCGTGCACTGTTGATGGGAATGCAAATTGGTGTAGCCACTCTGGAAAACAGTACGGAGTTTCCTCAGAAAGTTAAAAACAGGACTACCCTATGATCCAGCAATTGCACTACTGGGTATTTACCCAAAGGATACAAACATAGTGATCTGAAGGGAAACATGCACCCTGATGCTGACAGCAGCATTATCAACATGGATAGCCAAATTATACAAAGAGCCCAAATGTCCATCGACTGATGACTGGATAAAGAAGAGGTGGCATATACACACACATACAGACACACACACACACACACACTAGAATGTTACTAAGCCATCAAAAGAATGAAATCTTGCCACCTGCAATGACATGGAGCTAGAATGTATTATACTAAGTGAAGTAAGTCAGAAAAAGACAGTATCCTATGATTTCACTCATATGTGAAATTTAAGAAACAAAACAGATGAACATAGGGGGAAAAAAGGGAGAGGCAAACCATAAAACAGACTCTTAACTAGAGAGAATAAACAGGTTTACTGGAGGGGGAACATAGGCGGGGGGGCGCTGTTAATGGGTGATGGGGATTAGGAGGGCACTTGTGATAAGCACTGGGTGCTGTAGTAAGTGATGAATCACTAAATTCTACTCCTGAAGCTAATATTACACTGGAATTTAAATAAAAATTTAAATAAAAACTTAACAAAACCAACACTGGAATTTAAATAAAAACTTAACAAAAACCAAAACAAAAAAAACAGTATTCAGCTTTTTAATGTTTACTTCAATCAGATTATTCCAAACAGGATTAATTTATTTTCTGTATATTTTCAAACAATCATGTGCATTATTGATCATTTTTTAGAATCCAAAATCTACTTTACTGAGTATGGTTTCTGCAGCTGTTAAGTTTTCTTCTGCAGTTTTTCTTTTTTATTCTTATGTTAATCCCCATACATTACATCATTAGTTTTAGATGAAGTGTTCCATGATTCATTGTTTGTGCACAACACCCAGTGCTCCATGCAGAATGTGCCCTCCTCAATACCCACCACCAGGCTAACCCATCCTCCCACCCCCCTCCCCTCTAGAACCCTCAGTTTGTTTTTCAGAGTCCATCGTCTCTCATGGTTTGTCTACCCCTCCGATTTCCCCCGCTTCATTCTTCCCCTCCCGCTACCTTCTTCTTCTTTTTTTTTTTTTTCTGCAGTTTTTATTTCAATTATACTGTGTCAAATTTTAGAGCTCTTTCAATTTTGTCAATAATTATGAATGAGTTTTAGTCAGTGGTTTTGTTACTTCAACCAACCAAAGACATATGTTTCAAGTTGAAGATACTGATGGTTTATATTTATTTCTTAGCCATGCATGAAAAAAAAACGCAAGTAATTATCTTCAAATATTCCAGGATGGCTCTCTTATTTGGTACTGGGTCACATCAATTCCAATCTTTTATACTGTATGCACACTATTCTGTTTTGCACAAAGAGCAAATAAAAGGCCAAAATCTCGTATTTTGATCTTGGAGAGCTTTCCTTGTTTGTATGTATAACTCTACTTCATTCTTTTAACTGCTACATAGTATTACACAAGGTGGATAAATCTTAATTTTTAACCATTCTCCTACTGATGCGTATTTCAGCTATTTCTAATTTCTTGCCTTTGCATACAATGCCATAATGTATATTGTTATAGGTAACTCTTTTATTCACATTTTTCTAGGAAATACTCGAATACCTAGCAGTATTCTGGGTCAAAGGACACACATATTAAACTTGTTGATATTGCTAAGTTGCCTTCCAAAAGACTGGAAATTTTCACTCATACTAATGCATACTTGTTTTCCTATACCCTGGCCAACACTAAATATTATCAGTCTCTCTGCTGTTTGCCTATGAGCTAAGTAAGACCTTTTTATTTGCATTTCCGTAATTGCTAATTAGGGCCGTTCTTACCAACCATCTGCACTGTTTCTATGAAATACCTGTTGTATCTGATTGCTTTTTATATTTGACCACAGGAGCACTTTATCTGGATATTAATCCACTGTTATATATTTTCTTCCTGTTTTTTGCTTGAGTTTTAACTTGGATTACTGGGTCTTTTGTCATTTATTAAATTTTTAATGGTCAAATCTGTTACTATTTTCCTTTATGGCTTCTACATTTCATGCCTTGCTCAAGAAAAGCTTTCACCTCAAAGATTATAAAAATATTCTTTTATATTTTCTGCTAACATATAGTATAAAACATTCTATAAAGCTAAAGTAATTAAAAGTCCTAGTAGCATTTATAAAAAAAGAGATGAAAAAGAACCATCTGGAAGCATACTCAAGTGTAATATGCATTATATGCACACTAGAGATACCACATCATGTTAGTTGGAAAAAAAAGGAATTAAACCTCACGATGTACCTGAAAATAATGTCCAGAGGGGTTAACAAGCTTTAAAAAAAAAAAAAAGGAAACTAAAAACCCTACAAACTCTTCTTTTCAGAAATATTTCAGGAGTTTGTCTTTAAAGAAATTAGGAATCGGCTTGTCGATATCCATTACAATCCTATTAAATTTTGATTACATTTGCACTGAATTTATAATTTGTTATAAATATGGTATATTGCTACAATAAGTCTTTCTGTTAGAGTACTTTCTAAACAGAACTCCTGCAACGGTCAGGTCATCTGAACACTCACATGTACCTAACAGTGCTCTAACCAGGATTGGGGCGGTGTGGTATTATCCACATGCATCAGGCAGGCTCTCAGCTTCTGCTCAAAGGTTCCTTTCCTTGCCTCTACCTCCTTCCACCCAACTTTCTAGTGATCTGTAACATCACCAGACAGTGAAGCCTGGAACTTTGAAAATGGTCTATTTTTTCCCAATGATCAGAGGTGATGGCTGGGGAAAATGAACTGCCTTGAATCACAGCAGTGGGAAGGATGAACAAAGGTATTTCTTAAGACTAAGGTTCACATCTCCCAGGTCCTTCAGAGTGTGTGCAATCAGAAACCAATATGTAGTTTCTTTGCTTCCTCCATTTTGGTCCTTCTTGAAATGGCAGAGTATCAAAATCATCGCTCTGGTACACAGGCCTGCACGTCACACATAAGGAGGCTTGCTCAGCCTCACAGTCACCATAGCAACAGTACAAGCAGCAGGATTCAAAGGAAAGGGCGTCAGGATGAGAGTCAGCCAGGCAGATTCAAATCCCAGCTCCAGCACTTAATAACAAAGGTCTGACTTAGGGCCAATCGCTTATCTGCATCTTGGAGTTACCCAAATGGTTATTATACAGTATGTACTCTAAGGGTCAAAACAGGCAATACCTATTCAGTGGATGTCACAGAGAAGGTTCTCAAAAAAAAAAAAAAAGAAAGAAAAGGAAAAGAGCGGTTATTTGTAGAGTGGGTACCTGAGGCTGCATGCCACCATCCTTGATCTGGCAGGTATACAGACACTTCCGGTCTGGGCACTTGACACTGGCATATATTCGAGTACTGCAGTAGCCCACGGGGTAGATGGCGCGCTCATCATGGAAGCCAGGTCGGTCGGTGATGATCTATAAGAAAGATTCCCCCAATCTGCGACTGAGGTCGCTGGAGAATTCAGGAGTCCAGTGTACTGTGGTAGCCTTTAAGACCACTTTGGGGCTGCAAAGAGTGACTCGAATCACAGAGAGAAAGTGTGTAGGCTGGGCAGCAGACAAAACTGACCTGGCTTCCTAGGGACTGGAGGTTTTCTGGGGCTGGTCTGGATCAGCAAGGGGCTGCGGCTAATGGGAACAGGGAGGGAAGGCTCAACCCCATTCCCGTATTTCTGAGTCTCCTCTCTATGTATTGCTGGTCTCACTCACCTCCCCCAGGCTATATACTGTTAGACCCCCCAGTCCGATGGGGAACACAGGCCGTCCTGAGGGATCCAGGGCAATGGGCTGAACCAGCTTGCGAACACCTCCCTCCATTTTCTTTTTCTTGGATGTTTTCTTCAGAACTGAAACGCAAATCTGGGGTCACCCACTTTAGGCCCCTCCCAACGCTGAGGGGAAGGGAAAAATTTACACGTGAGTGCTAAGAGCAGTAAGCCAATCCTGCTTCTATATACTCACTGAATGGGCACATGGGACTTTCCTCCAAAGCCCAGAGTATCTTTCTAACCCACCCACCTGGCAATGGCTAATTTTAATATTAGTGCCTAAAAGGCTTCCACTTTTTAAGGCCTCTTACTTAATTTATCAGATCAGAAATTTCCCAAGCCATCTGTGTGCTCAAAAGGCCACCTAGCCCATTTCCCTGCCTCTAGGAAAGACTGAACTGAAGGCAACCTGGAGAACTGGGGGTGTGTGTGTGGGGGCGGCCTGAGCCTGCTCCCTTCACATTTAACCAGGTCTGTCTAGAAGTCCTCCACCCAAAATGGCTCTAATACATCTGCTTCCCGAGGGCTATTAGGGCTATGTAAGGATCAGAGGAGGGTTTAAGGACATCTGTGGTCGTGTGTGTCTATCAGTAGTTCCAGGTCTTTGCCATTAGTCATTGGGCCACAGGGGCAAGTGATATCTTCTCCCCAAGGTACCTTCCAGTTTGTTGTTCTCTTTGCCTTTTTCTTTTTTCTCCTTCTTGGATTTCTTCCCAAATGGTTCCTCAGCCCCAGTGCTGGGCCCAGAAATGGACCCAGCTCCCTGGATAGCTCCCACAGAGCTGGCCACACCGTAAGTCAGGGGCAAACTAGAGCTGTGGGCAGGAGCTGCAGTCTGTACCTCCCCTTCTGTTAGGGCCTGAAGCTGGAGGAGCTTCTTTAGCAAATACCTGAGGTTGGGAAGGAAAGAGAACAGAGGTATGAACTTCTGGTTTATCTCAGTTTGGTATTTTATTCAAGTACTGGAGAAGCCAGAACTATATACTAAGATTATTACACTCATAAAAATAATGTTCTTGGGCCCAGGGAATAATGAAGCTCCAGAGGACAATACGTCAAGGAGCCAAAGATAAGGACTGTAACTTATCTCTCTTGCATCTATAGATGTTGATGATGAAAGGTGTTACGCTTCCAGAGGGCACATACCAGGACCTGTTTATGTATATATTTTATATATACCCACTGTGCTTTGCACAGAGTAGTACATATTGAGTATTTGTGGAATGAGAGGCAGTTTCTTTTATCCCTTCTCTTTCTCTCCCTTGGGGAGTTACAAGAAGATAGCTCATTAGATGTGGTAAGAGGGCTGTGTTAGAAAGATGAATAAAGGAGCTGTCTCATCCCCAGGGTCCAACACAACTTGGGTAAATGGGAACCAGTACTAGAGGTTGTGAGTTTCTCTGTACTTGATCAGTAGCCAATGGGTTGTAATGCACAAAAATTCCACTGGAGAAAAATCCCAGAACAGTAACACCATATCAATCACTGAGAATGTGATTCTGAACACAAAATGAAGGCAGCTCACCGTCTTTCTTCTTTTGCTTTAAGAAATTTTTCCTCCAGACGAGCAATTTCATCACAAATAGCAGCATTTTCCTTTAAGAAAAATTTTTGGATATAATCACATAAAAAGAGTAAAAGATCAAAGTATTACTCTGGGAAGAGGAGCTGTATTTCTCTTTTCTTTTCTTTTTTTTGAGAGAGAGCTCGCACGCAGGAACGAGATGGAGGGGAAGGTGGGGGGAAAGGGCTGAGGGAGTGGGAAAGAGAGAGAATCCGAAGCAGGCTCCATGCCCAGCGAGGAGCCCAACACAGGACTCGATCTCATGACCCTGAGATCATGACTTGAGCTGCAATCAAGAGTCAGGTGCTTAACAGACTGAGCCACCCAGGCACTCCAAGAAGATCTATATTTCAAACCAAAGAAGTGTTGCTGGGTGAGAAGGATGAGCTACTCTACCTTGCAGAGAAACTATTAAAAAAACCTACAGTAAAGGCAGAGTCAAGTTCCACTATGGGCAGGGTAATTACATAACTTATTGAAACTGGGGCATATTTGAGTGAAAAGGGGGTGCTATTAATTATTATGCCAGTACAGTATGGTAGACAAGGGTCTCCTAGGCAAACCAAGATGTATGATCGCCCTAATTAGGGTATTGGCAGAGAAAAGGGCATACCGCTTAAATCCATATATGCTTAAATTTAATCCTTACAAATAGGAGAAATATCTATTCCTAAGTGCCTTGACTCTTGGGGAGCTCATAAAACCAACCTAACCCAAAGCATCCCATGGAATATGAACCTTAAAGAGAAAAACTGGACAGAATAAAATCAACTCTAGTATGCAAAATTCTTAAACTTCATAACCTACTTATGTGTACTCAAGTATCATCTTTCTGACTCCATCTGTTTCCCAAGCATCAGTTGTAAAGGAAATGCTCTCATCTGGATGTTCCACAAGTGGGACCTCAAACTCTTAATGTTCAGACTTTACGTACCTCTGACATGTAGAGGACAAAAGAAAGGGACTGGCCAATGAAGTATCAAGTCCTCTTAATTCTACTTTCTTCATTTGTCTCCAGAGCACACAAGTGCTAAACAAATGCTTTTGAAAATAACGTTCTAATTTCCAAACCTTCCCTTATCCTTCCAGAAATGCTGAGAGATGTTCAAAGCTTTTGGTAGAAAGAAGAGGTAAGGTGGTGAGTCAGCCATGGAAGCACATTCGAGGACCCCATTCCCTGTTTCCCAGCACTGAGGCAAGCTGGAGCAAGCCAGAATACCGCCACACAAGTAGTGTCCGGCAAGCCAGTTCACTTAATAAACTCAGCGCCTCTACAGTGAAAGAACAGCAGGAACACTTGAGAGACTCAAGGGATTAGAAGGGGGGTAAATTACCGAAGGCTTCACGTGCCTGTTGAGGGAAGAGGTCAGTTGTGCGTATTCGGGGTGCTGGGGAATAGGCTGGGCAGCGGAAGTAGTAAACTAGGACCAGGGTGACTAAGTTGGAATCAGGGCTCTGACACAGTGCCCTTGAGCACATCATGTCTCTGGGTTTCAGTGTCCCATTTTTTAAGAACAATGCCTCACTCTAGGGTTCTCTTGAGAATCAAACGCCTTTCCAAGAGTTTTGCGGTACCAACGACAATGACTGAAACTTACGGGCACCTCTTCTAGGTGCCAAGCACTTCACGTCCCTCACTTAATCTTCACAACGCCGAAAGGTAGTTGGCTCTCACGGGTCGGGAAAGAGGAGTACAGAAACTACCTAATTTGTCCAAGGACACAAGGCTAGCGAGAAGTAACGTGTACTGCAAAAGCTAACACTACTGTTCCTGCCACTCTGGGAGGGGAACGGTGTGGGGAAAGATGTCGCGAATCACGAGAGTCGAGGCGAAAGGCCGAGCGACGGTCAGACTCACAAACACGGTGGCTTTGGCCGCTTTGCGCAGCCGCAGGTACTTGAGCCGGTACTTCTCGTTCTGGCTCTTCTTCGGGAGCTTTTTCATCCTGGCCTTGCCGGACTGCAGCGGGGCCCGCGGCGAGGAGGCCGGGCCGCCCAGCAGGCTCATGGTCCGGCCCCGCTACGGGGCCTCCAGGGCGCGGCCGGCATCGGCTCCTAGGCCGAAGAGCGCCGGCTTCGTCTCGTCTGGGCTGCCGGGACCCGGCCTCTTAGGACTCTATCCTTCCAGAACGTTCCCAAGGCGGACGGCCGGGCCAGAAGCCCGGCAACCGACCTCAGCCCCGGGCCTCCCCGCACTTCCGCGTCTGCCTCGGAAGTAAGTCCTGGCCGGAAGTTACGTAACGGCGCCGGCCGCGGGTAACTTCCGGGGCGGTGAGCCTGCGGTGTTCGCGGCAGTGCCGGTCGGCGGGCCCGAGCGGGGAGGCGGCCGGGTGAAGGTGGCGGGAGACGGTTTTCTGTGACTCCGCGCTGTGTGCCTAGCTGGGGTGTGTGGAGCTGAGGCCTAACCACCCCGCCCCGTATTCCCGGCGCGAATCTCACACTTGCTCCCGCCAGCGCACTGGGTTTCAACGCCAGTTTCCCACACTTCTTAACACAGGTCTTCCCGGATTGTGGGACGCACTTGAACCCAAGTGCTGGGACTGCGGCTTTCTTGTATACAGCTCGCAGAAAGGTTTCTTGAGAGCCTATTAGGCCGTGATTTTACGAGGATCCGGGACGACACTAGTGAATGGAAAAAAAGGCCTCTGCCTCCTCAGGTTAGACTCTAATAGGGAAGACGAGATCTAACGCGCAATTTTAATAACATGCTAGCACTAAGTAGGCACTCAGTAAACGTTTCCTTGACGAAACTACAAGTATGTTTATAGCTAACTTTGTAGCCGAGGTCTATCTACAATCATCAAATAAGGAGGGTAGACAGTTGTTTACGAAGCGGTATAGGGAAAGGCTCAGGTTTGCAAGATGAAAGGCATGTATTCCTGCTTATTCCAGCAATGCCGTAACTAGCTGAGTGAGCCTCTGCGTCATAGGTTTTTCCTGTTTAAAACTGAATCTACTGTTTAGAATAATGGGGGCTAGTGAGGGTTCTAAGTTGTAAGGTACTCTTACTGATCTAAAATATAATTACAGTTACATATTCAAAACGTAGGCTTCTAGAGTTGTATATGGAAATTAAGGAAACTATGTACATAGTTAAAACAAGTGAATTACTGGAGAAAAATGTAACGCTAATGGGTATAAGTAACTTATAATCAGCGTTCAAAAAGAGAGGTTTAGAATTGATGACCCAGGTATGTCATTTCTGCAAACTATAAAAAATAGTGACAGGGTCTGACAAAATGGTTTTAACACAGCAGAGTCTTAGGGAAGTTCTTTTATGTCCCTCCATACTGAAGGCTGCCCTTGTTGGACTTGGCTGGGTTTTAATAGAGCAACTCCTCAGGGAGCCAGTGTGCTTTCAGAACCATAACTCAAGGCAGCCATAATAGAATCATTTTTGGAAACTGCCAGGAATATTTCCAGCCTACGAAATACCCACAATCATACCTTTGCTAGTATAGATTGCTTCTTGGAACCTGAGAAAAGATAATTGAGTGATAGGGAGAGATTGTCTTTTTCTTTTTTTCTTTTTTAAAATCTGTTTGCCAACTGCATGATTTATTTGCTGTCCAGCTATATTTTGTCCTTGCAGGCTTTGTGATCTGACTTTATTTTCACTATTCCTCTTCATATGCTGGTATCATACCTAGTGGGAGGGAAAGTGTGATCATTGCTTTAGTTTTCAAGCTGCTCTGGCCAATGGATTTCAGTGGAATTTGAATTAAAATATTTTTTCATCATTAGAAACATTTCCCTACAACTTATAAAACACTGTGTGCAAGTTTTAGATATTTAGAAAATATAGTACAAAGAAGATTTTTAAAAATCCATAATGTTGCCACACAGGGTGAGCTGTTTTTAACATGTGTGGTTAATACTTTCATGCATTTTGGGCGCCTGGGTGGCTCAGATGGTTAAGCGTCTGCCTTCAGCTCAGGTCATGATCCCAGGGTCCTGGGATCGAGTCCCGCATCGGGCTCCCTGCTCCTTGGGAGCCTGCTTCTCCCTCTGCCTCTCTCTCTGTCTCTGTCTCTCATGAATAAAAAAAAAACAAAAAAAAAACAAACTTTCATGCATTTTTATGTATGTTAGATAATACAAGGTTTCCTTTTTTTCCACTTACCATTATTATAGTCATTTTGTGGTGTTATTACGACTGCTTTATAAGCATAATTTCAAACGGATCCTTAATATTCTAGTTATGGCATAATAATTTTACATGATTACTTCCATGTTGTTTGGTTTTTGGTCATCAGTTGCTGTGAAGTGCATCTTTGCGCACAAAGCCTTTTTTTTTTTTTTTAAAGATTTTATTTATTCATTTGAGAGAGGGAATGAGAGATAGAGAGCATGAGAGGGGGGGAAGGTCAGAGAGAGAGGCAGACTCCCTGCCGAGCGGGGAGCCCGATGCGGGACTCGATGCCGGGACTCCAGGATCATGACCTGAGCCGAAGGCAGTCGCTTAACCGACTGAGCCACCCAGGCGCCCTAAAGCTTTTTTTTATACAAGATTATTTAGGGGCTGGGTCCGTGCGCTCCAAACAGTATAACATTGCCAAGCAACATTCAGTCACTTATTTATTCAGAAGAGTATTTATTTAGTGCCCACTATGACCCAACTTTTAGGAAACTTATTTAAGAGGAAAAGCCAGGCACCTGTCTGGGTGCCTGGGCAGTATTAATACAGGGTAATAACTTTTATCTCAGAGGTAGGTATTGAATGATGTGGCAGCACATAGTTAGGGAACAGGGGAGGAGATAGTTAGGGAACAGCCATGTAGAAGAAAATACGGCTGGGCAGACTCTGAAGGAGAGCTGGTGGAGGCCAGTGAAGAACGGAGGAGGGCATCTTGAGCAGGGGAGACAGCACATTCAAAGGCTCAGCATCATCAGATGCGTGGGAGCAATATAATTTTTCTGCTTACCTATATGAGGAAGGGTCTGAATGGCCTATACAAAAATTCTCTGAAGAAATATGCAGCTCTAAAAAGAAATATCCAATGAGAGACAACATGGTATTGTGGGCTGAGCGGGGCATCTGAAGTCAGACTAAGGTTCCATTAAGTCCAGACACAGAAATGGAAGTTAGAAGCTAAAATGGGATAATGAGTCAGAGAAGAGAGAGAAAGGGCAACAGCACTTTACTATCATTCCCATTTAGGTCTAAGTGGTTGCTATTCAGTGATTGGTTCTAAATGGAGGAGGTATAGCATCCCCTGGAGGATTAGAAGCACACCTGGACCCATTAGGAGTCATGAAGGAGTCCACAGCCCATAACCCCAGCCCTTGGTGAAGTGAGTTTCTGGTTTAGATGATGAAAACCACCATAGCTCCACCCACAGCTGACGCATGGCCCTGGCCTTGTTCTATGCTGTCCTAACCCCCAACAGCAGGTAAGTTCCTGCATCATTATCTTCTGGCCCACTCTGCGGGCCACACAGGGTCTGGGCAGGGTCAGTGACTTCCACGAGGCAAGCTGGCAAGTTCCTAGGATTTCAGGCCACACCACAGGGTTTCCAGGGATTTCACGTTTTTATTCACTTGGCAGATTGCCCCACATGCTCTTTGGGTTAAGCTGAGTGTGCATCCTAGAAGGGCCATGGAGTAAATATACAGAGAAGAACCTGCCTCCATAAATAGCCTTTGGAACTTTCTCTCCTTGTAGAATGTCTAGACTTTTAGTTTAGTTTTAGTTTTAGCTTTTTTTTTTTTTTTCTATCCTCATAGAATGCTCTAGACCTAATTTTTTAAATTCTTTGACTCTTCAGCTCTAACTTACAGATTTGTTTTCATGTGTTGATTTTATCTTCTCACCTTTAGGAAAACATAATACAGGATGGATGATTCAGCTGAATCCACACTTAGCATTTCTAAAGTTGGTATTTTTGTACATTAGTGTGTGAGGATTGTGAAGAAGGAGGGAGAGTTTTACTTTCCATAAAATTTCTTGCTCCATGGTTTCTTAACTAAGGGTTTTCATCACCTATTCGATGGGTGAGATGTTTAGGTTTTGAGGGTTCTAAGCCAGCCAATAATGTCATGAAATCGACCACTGTGTCAATGTTGTGCTTCTGGGTGGTTGTGTCCTTCAAAACACATAAGACACTCAACCAGCTAAAAGAGATGAGCTCAGAGATGTTGGCTCGGAGGAAAAGAAGGATCACATTGAGGTCATTGATAGGGCATCCCAGCATCTTTCTGCTGAGGAGATCAAAAGCTGGGAGCATCTCATAGACGGATAGTAGTCGTTTGTCCCACCGACATAGTCGTGTGAGGTTGTATATTATCACTGGAACCAACAGGGTGTATATTGTTATACTGGAGAGACTAGCAATTTGCAAAACTGACAGAGAGGTCAGCCTGCACGTGATCAGATGGGGCATGTGGGTCTCATCACTTAGCAGCCCTGTTTTGACGGAACAGCTGAATTCCTCTTGGGAGAAGACATCCAGGTGGAAGTGGCCAAGGTACAGGTAGATGGCTGAGGTGAAGAGGAGCAAGAGGGAGTTCCTCAGCAGGTAGGTAGCCACTAGGGAATGTGAGCGCTGCTTACATGCCAGGTACCGCTCTAGCAAGGGGAATTCGAAGTATCGTTCTTTCCGTGCCCTGGGCAGGGGAAGAAAGGAAGCAGGGTTAGGAGAGACCATTTAGAACCATATCCTGAGAGAGCCATGTGGGGACGTAATGGAATCTGTGCGTCCGATGTGGCGTTCTTGGCTCACATGAAAATCTGCCTTCCCTGAGCATAACCACTCCTCTCCCCAATGAGGTGTGTGAGTAGATCTTCATTCTCCAACTAATGAGTGCAATGTGGTCAACCCAGTGAATGATCAGTGAATAACCAATGGTCACACTCGATTTCTGCCCAGCAAGGCAGACTAAACCTTCAAGCTAAAATGGGATTCTTAGGAAGCAATAGGCTTATTGAATTAGCACTGGACTGGGAGTCTAGATAACCACATTCTGGTTCTTGGTCTGTATACTCTGTGGATGATTTTTAGGCCAATTCACCTATTTTATAAAAATAAACATGCTAACAGGTATTTGTTGAGACCTGTGGTGTTCAGGCACATGTAAGCCAGTCTCAGCTCTGAAGGCGCTTACGGTCTGGCTTGTGGGGAAGAGGCAGATAAGATATGCAAATAGGAAATAAAAATCATGCTTGATTTGTGGCTAAAATGATGGATACAAACCATGGTGTTGTAAAAGTTAGGAGAGAGGTAATGGCACGGACCACAGTGTTCGGAAACCTTTACAGAGAATACTGTCTTAGAGATGGCCTTCAAGAGGTAGATGGAGTCCAGAAAGATAGATGGCAGAGGAGCTTTTTCCAGAGGAAAAAGCATGTGTACAAACACGAGACAGAATACCGTTCAAGTCTCAGCTCAATGCTCCTCTTGGTGGGGCGCCCCCTGGCCGCCCGATTTAAAACTGCACCACACCACCACCCTCCAACTTTTCTGACCCCCTCACCCAGCTTTACATTTTTCCCCCTTCAAACCACATATCTTCTGCCATGTAATTTGCTTTCGTGTTGTGTTTATTTGTTGTCTGTTTCCCCTCAGTAGAATGTGAGCCCCATATGGGTAGGGGTAGCTTTGTCTCCTCTCCACCCCTGCCCCCAACACACACAGCACACACTGATGGGTCCGAAGCACCCAGAACAGCACCTGGGATGCAGTAAAGGATGCACGAATGCTTCAGTGAATGAATGGTTATTCAGGAGAAGAGGAGGAGACTGCCTGGGTGGAGTGGGAGGTTTCTGTCACTTGGTGGTCAGAGGTGTGAAAAAGTAGTTGGTGACAGTGTGTAGAAGGCCTTGGAAAAATAGTTGGGAGAATTTGGGTCTTTTTCTGGAGGCACGGGGGGGAGGGTCTGAGCGGGGGGGATGGTATATGGAAGTGGTACATTAGAGACATTAGTCCCTTTGTGACTCGGGGTGTTCATCTGTCAACTAAGGAAGAGTCCTTTCTCTCCTCCCTGTAGAGAAATGATAGAAAGTGAGTGAGATGGTATCTTAAACACTCTGGATTCTTGAGAAGGATGGTACAGAGGAGAGTTTAAAGATGACCCTGCACAAGGATATTGTGTTAACGTGCAGTTGAGTCCTTCAGAAAGGGGTGGGAGAGGCCACTCACTTCTCCATCTCATCCCAGAAATCATGCGGGTCTGAGCTCTTCTGCCGGATCTTCAACATGTGCTGCACCAGGCGGATGGAGCGATTATAGGATTTGTCCAGTTCGCTGATGATGAAGAGCAGATCTGAGCTGAGGGCCGGCGCCGCCACATACTGCCACAGCAGAATGGGCAGGTACATGACCACAGCCAGGGCCAGCAGGGAGTAGGGGAGGGCCTGTGGGGCGAGAGTGAGCTGAGGAGGGAGGCCCAGGGTGCAGGGGCCTTGTAGACAGAGCTCTGAGTGAGGGGTCTCATTCCCTGCTTCCTGCCTCAGAAAGGGGAGGCAGGTGGGGAATGAGCCACCACAGGCCCAGGACTTAAGGCTCTCCGCTGACTTGGCTGAATATAGTGAAGCCCAGAGGAGAAGGGATGGTGGGTCTCTCTGCTCCCCAGCTCCACTCCTCAGATCTGGAGTCTGTGTAGGTGTGGAGGACCCCAGGGAGGGCAAAGGGAGGGAGAAGGACAGAGGGAGGGAAGGAAGGAGAGAGAAGGGGAGAAGGGGACAGAGAGAGAACATGAGAACACACCCCCTGTTCCCTATGAATGTTAGCCTGGGTCGCTAACCAGAGAGCACGGCCAACTGTGGTCATGGCGTCACATCCTGGGGGAGAGCGACCTTCATTCTCCATCAACCTCTCTTTCTTTGACTGCTCCAAGTTCTTATTGCTAGGCATCCAGAGTCTGTTAGCTTTCAAAGCCCAGCCAGGGGCCCCAACATCGCTGAGGGGAGGAGGTCAAATCCCACATCCTCCATGCCTTCCCTGACTCCTCTCCTGTGCGGTGGTCCTTTCATCTCTGCAGTCGTGGTCATGCCAAACGACACCCTCAGGGACTGCCTTGGAATTCGTTGGGGGCCACTTCTGTTATGCATGTACACAAGCTGACATTGAGGTACGTGGGAGTCTTGTGTTCTCAACTAGACAATATGCTACTTGAGACAAGCCACTATTTTGGCCACAGTAAAAACTCTACTTGTTGTAGGCTTTTTGAAGCTACATTTGTGCGAGGTGCTTCACCTGCATGTTTCTTCTGAGCATCAGGAGGATGCTGCCGGGCAGGCACTATTAATATCTCTATCTTACAGACAAGGAGACTGAAGCACGAGAAGGTTAAGTGACCTGGCCAGGGTTACACATCTCGTGGGTGGGGGAGCAGAATCGGGAACTAGGCAGTCTGATTTTGGGGCTTATTCCCTTAAAGACTACTTGACTATAGCTTTTCTTGCAGTAGGGATGCTTTTTATATTAGAGGAGAGTTTGAAGAAAAAGAGGGAGGATGCATATTTGGTGGCAGCTAGGTAGAGAAGAAAAAGGTGTGTGTGTGTGTTTCTGAACTAAACACCAGAGACAGGTTAGGAAAACTACACCAGTCCACTCGAGAAAATCAGAACCTTTTCATTCCTGTTCAAGAAATGGCATTTCTTGAAAATAAACTTCACTCCCAGAGATTCTGTTTCAGTGGGTTTGAAGTGGAGCCAGGGAATCTGGGTATAAAGAGCACTCAGGCGATCCTGACAGACCGTTTTAACTCTTTTCTGACATTTGAATCCCTTCTGCAATATCTTGACCTTGTTGCCATCTGGATCCCGCTTGAACACTTGTGACAGAGACCCCCATGAACTCTTTCCATTAAGTCTCTGGTTTTGTCTGGGTCCCAGACCTGTGTGGCCTTTGGAGGCCTTGTAAACTGTCATAACTGGAAAACGTCATGAGTGACTTCCGATTCAACATCGTGAATTGGACACCCATGACTTCTGCTCCCTCGTGAAGCCCCACAAGAATGACAATAAGGGGATAAAAAAGACCTAATTCTATCAGGACAAGGAAAACAGAAGACAAGAGCCATAAAACATTGCAAACTGGAAAGCAGTATCATGCTAGGAAACAGTGGCCCGTGGGCGGGATGGGGAGTTGAGGCAGGCCAAGCAAGCTGTTTTTGCACCACAGAGCTGGAAAGACCCAGGAATTGCAGATATGAGGTACCTCTGAAAATGGAGATACAGGTGGGGCTGCCAACAGGAGTATTGAAAAAACAGACCCACTGATCCTCCCTGTAACGTGACGCACTGATCAAGCGACTGCCCTTTCCATCCCCTGGCAGAGGCTTGTGGTTCACTCTTTGGAAACATTAAACCAAAGAGCTTTTGCACTTGGCTCCATTGAGGGCAGGGGAACAGCACTGAGAACTGCGTTAGTTGAGAGAATACTAGGTGCTGAGACCCACAGCTGAGTTCCTAGAGGGTTGGCAGCTGAGCTTAGTACCCACTGCCCCCTGCCCCCTCTGCGCGATTAAGGATCCAGTGATTCTTCTTGGGGACCGGCCCAAGATAAAGGATTACACACACCGATATTTGAGGTTTCCCCAGTGAAATGGCCCAAAGGCTTCACTGTAATCAGAAGGCTGGTCAGCCAGCCTCACTCATGGGCACGAAGCTTCCAATCAGATAAAAGTGGGCGACCAAAGATCACCGGACGCTTGAAGAAACACAGGAGTCAATGATGAAAATAAAAAAGCAGGGGGCGGGGTGGTGAAGAGACCAGAGAGAAGACAATGATGTGGCTCTGGCCTGCCCCGCCCCGCCCCGCCCCGCAGTGGCCGGATGGAGCCCAGCCCACCTTACCTTGTGAGGCCACAGGGACTTCATCTTGTGCTGGCCCAGCTCATCCAGTTCGTGGTGAACAAGCGAGTCCCAGCAGGAACTGTCCACGTAGGCGGCCTGCCGGATGCTGAAGTTACTGGGAGAGAAGCAGCGGATGGGAGGCCCTGGAACAGGAACATGGCTTGGGAGCAGCCCGGAGCTGGAGTGGAGGAATGGGGACCCAGGGATCACCCAGCCGAGAGCCTTCCAGGGGTTGCCTCCACAGCTCTGCTAATTTCCATCTCTGGCAGGCACTTTCTCCATCCCAGGCCCCAGTTTCTGGGGGCCACACGGCCAAGTCACCACAGGTCTGTTTGGCTCAGGCCTGCCCATGTGACTGGCCTTTGACGTGGATTCTTCCCTCTCGGAGCTCCCCCTGGACTCCCAGACACGGGGGCAGTGGGGGCGCCCCACACTCCTGGGTTTGGGGGTGAGACCTTCCTGAGAGGACTGACATCTTCTAGGTTCTAAACTTTAGAGGGTTAATTGCCTGGGCTTCTGCGCCCACATCCAGAGAAAGGGTGAGCAGGTTGTGCTGAAAGGAAAGTGGGCTCGGTGGGGGGAGAGTTTTGTTTTCCTGTCATTCTCTAGAGAGAGAAAGAAATGGGAACCAATGGTTCTTTCCATCTTGTGGGTGAATGAAGAGGCAGTGCACGGTTGAGATAACCCCTTGGGAAACATAGGAAGCTAATCGCACAGCCAGAAAAGAAAGCCAGAAATCCCAGTTCTCAGGAAGTCTACCTTTTCTTTAACAGGAAATTTGCTGAGTTAATCTAGTGCCTAGAACAGCAGATATACGTGTTTGTTCATGTTTGCGTGTGTGGCCACAGTCTGTGGAGAAGAAGGAATGGATTTATTTAGCACGTATGATATGTCAGGCTCTTAACGTATGTCCTCAAATCGGAAGCCTGGGAAGGGGAGAGTAGGAGAAGGCTGAGATGGTAAGAGACTCGTCTAAAGCATGGTTGACTAGGACCGTTAGCGGTCCGGGGTCCTGAAAACATGGAACTCCAATCTCTCTCATCCATATGAAAATCAAAATAAAAGTTTATTTTATTGCAATGCATAAAATATATGAAATACTGAGATTTAAACTAAATGATTTTATTATAAAAGTTGGGAAATGACTTTCAAAATTTTCGGTACCTCTGCTCTGTTGGTGCCCTTAACCCCTGCATCGCCTGCCTTTTAGGGAATGCCCAGGCCAGAGTCACAAAAGCTGGACAGTGTGGGAGCTGTCTCACTTCAGAGCCCAGGCACAGAGGGAAACAAAGCGGGGTCTCTCGTACACCGGGTCTTTTTTTTAAAGATTTTATTTATTATTTGACAGAGAGAGACATAGTGAGAGAGGGAACACAAGCAGGGGGAGTAGGAGAGGGAGAAGCGGTGCAGGGAGCCCGATGTGGGGCTCGATCCCAGGACCCTGGGATCATGACCTGAGCCGAAGGCAGACGCTTAACGACTGAGCCACCCAGGCGCCCCTCTCGTACACCGGGTCTTGGAGGCCACTTACCGGAGGAGAACTCCTGGGCAAATGCCAGGGACATCAGCAACAAGGGGAAGCCCACAGCTATGAACTTGACCATGCGGTCCAGGGGAAGTTCCAGGCGCAGTCCTTTGAGGCGGGGGCCTCTGCGGTCAGGCAGCAGGGCATCTGACAGCATGTATTCTGCAGCTGTGTTTGCGAGCGACATGGTGCCAGGGACCTTTGGGGTGCGGCGGCGGCAGGAAGGGTCCCAGGACAGTGGTGTGGGGAGATGGCCTCTTCAGGCAGCTGGCTTTGAGCAGACAGTGCCTGCAGCCCCAGCCTCGCGGGGATCTGTGCTAGGACCAGGCACTGGTTCTCTAAATAACCGGCCAGGCCCTGAGCCAGGCATCTGGTAATTAGAGGGAGGCATAGCTTAGTGGGTCCTCACTGGAGGAGGGTCGGGCGTCAGCCGGGGCTGGTGCCAGGCTCCTCTCTCTGGATTGTCCCCGAGCAGATGGAGCCCCGTGGCTTTATGCTGCCCTCTCATTAATAAAGTATTTTTGGTGGGGTGGTGGAGAGAAGGAGGGTTGTGGAGCCAGGGCCCCCCATGTAATTGGTGTGGAATTTGGGTGGAGATTGCTTAAATCTGTTGAAGGCCCTCATTTTGTGGTTAGGGTGGGAGTGGGGCCCCCAAGACCTAGCTAGGATTGTTGCTCCTACATTGTATTCTTTGTCTCCGTGACGATTTTCGCCTTGGGCCCAGGCTCTTTCCCAGAAACTACTCTATATTTGCTGTTAAATTTCCTTCCCTGCCTTTGGTCTTCTCCCACAGTGTTTCAGCCACATACATACAGTTTCCATCTATTTACAATTTTTTTTTTAGCCTCCGTGAGTTCTCTAGAAAGCTGGGGGATGGGTGGCAGTATTGAATAGTGGAAAGAACATGACCTTTAAAATTTGGAGGAAAAAGTCTCCCACTGTAGACCTAGCAGTACTCATTTTTTTTTTTTTATTACGTGACTTTAGGCAAGTCACTTTTGGTTCAGTATTCTCATCTATCAAATGGTATTATGTTGTAATCTTACAAGATTGTGAGGATTGATTAAGAGTATTGTATGTGAAGGTGCCTTGTAAACTAAAGTGTAGGGCAAATGTCAACTCTATTTCAACTTGGTGGAGTTGGGTGGGTGGAAAAGCAAACACTGGGCATAGGGCACTCTTGTCTCTAGCACCACCTCTAGACTTGGCAAGAGAGGACCTGACCTTGGCCTTCACACTGGACCCCTTTGGCTGTATCCTTACAAGGCAAAGAGTCCCTGGGGCTAGGGGGAAGTGTCCATTGGGAGGTAGGCCACTCTCCTAGCACCTGGGACACTGTAATTCCCTGTCGAGGTGGCCCCGGCCTGCTTCCAGGGCCGGTACAGGCCTTCTCCTCAGGTGCGTCCTCCCAAGGGTAGATCATGCTGCTGGTGTGCACTCCTGGGCTTAAGAAATTGCTTGTTGTAGGGATCTGGATAGAATTTAAAAGTCGTGGAGTGCCCACACATGTAACTGTGAGGCTTCTGGCAATGTGGGACTTAGGTGGTTTGGGAAGAAGGGATCTAGGAAGTCTGAGGATTCTAAATTCAAACCTGGCAATCCTGATCATTAATGATTATTATCATTATGTGTGTGTATATGTGTGACAAGGTAGACAGATAGAACATATTTTATTTAACAGCTTGATTTATAACTTTAAAATGTTTAGGTATATGGTCTGTGGGCCTCTATTTGAACTGTTTTTTTCCTGGGCTCACAAATGTCCAGGCTGGGCCTGCCTCTCTCTCCATCCCCAGGCTAGAGGCCAACTCTGATTCTCAGCTGCCCTGTGTGCAAAGTGGAATAATCCAGGCATGGGAACAGGATCTATTCTATTCCCCATTAGTCTCTCCACACTCTCATTTCTGTATCTTTTCACTGTGTGTGTTTTTGCCAAATGTTCATTATTGGTTTGTATGTATGTATTTTCTTTTGCCTAAATCATTTTACATTTTGTTGGAGTATAATTTACATTGATATGCACATATCATAAGCATAAAGTTCAATAAACTTTCTTTTGATCAAGAACTAGAACCTTGCTAACACCCCAGAAGCCACTTCTGTCCTCCTTCCTAAGTATAATTTCCCAAAAGATAATCATTATGCTAACTTCTAATAACATACATTAGTGTTGTCTTCTTTATACTTTCTAGAAATGGCATCATATGGATATATTCTTTTGTGTTTGGCTTCTTTTGCTCTACATTTATTCTTTTTTTTTTTCGGTGGTTTCAGTTTGTTAAAATTTGGTTAAAGATTTTGCATTTATATTTACAAAAAAGAACAAGCTTGATCCTGTTTTCCTTTCTTGGAAGGACTCTGGCACATAATGCTGGCCTTATGAAAAGAATTAGAAAAGACTTCTTTTTAATTTGTTCTCTGGAAAAGTTTGTGCAAGATCAGTGTCAATTCTCTTCACTAAATATTTGCAAGAATTCATAAGTGAAGCCATCTAGGCATGGGGTTTTCTTTGTGGGGAAGTTTTAGTTAATGGATTCAGTTTCCTTAATAAATATTTGACTTCGGATTTTCTGGTCTCTCTTCTATTAGCTTAAATGCACTAGTTTTCTATTGCTGCATAAAAACTGTACTAAAACTGAGGGCTTAAAACAGGCATATATTTACTTAACCTCCTCAGTTGCCTGTTGATGAACACTCATTTTGCTTATACTCCTCGTGCCACTGAACATGTGTATTTCCCCTTATGGTCCTTCAAGAGAATTCAATTGGGATATATACGGAGGATCTAGAGGTTTTAGGTCATAGGGCAGCATATAGTCACTTTATCTTAAGTAGTATATTGTTCTCTAGAATGGCCATGGTGCATAAAGTTCATCTCAAAGCGTCTGTAGATCAGAAATTTAAGAGCAGCTTGGCTGGGTTGTTCTGACTCAAGATCTCTCACGAAGTTATAGTCAAGATGTTGACTGGGGTTGCAGACAACCAAAGGCTTTGGTGGGACTGGAGGATCCAAATCCAGGTGCACCCAGTGATCATTGGCTGGAGTCTCATTGGGTGTTGGCAGGAGGCCTCCATTTCCTATCACGGGGGCCTCTCCATGGGGGCAACATGGCAGCTGGTTTTCGCAGAGCGGATACTCCAACAGATAGATCAAACAAGAAGCTATAATGCCTTTCAGGACTTCACCTCTGACGTTGCAATGGCTGTTTCTATTTTTTTCCTATTCAATAGAAGGGAGCCATGAAATCCAGCCCATATTCAAGGGGAGGGGAATTAGGCACCACATTTTGAAGGGAGTGTCAAAAAATATGTGGCATGTTTTAAAAGCACTACAGGTGACTAGTTAAATTTTTGAGGAAATTGTCCATTTTTCATCCAAATTGTCAAATTTATTTTGCATACCAGTATTTATTATATCCTCTCCTTATATTGTAGCAATATTTTATCATGAAAACATTAAATATAAAGCAAAGTTGAAAGCTTATACAGTGAACATCTGTAATATTTCTACCATTAGCATATTTTACTCTGCTTGATTTTTTTTTTTTAAGATTTTATTTATTTATTTGACAGAGAGAGACACAGCGAGAGGGAACACAAGCAGGGGGAGTGGGAGAGGAAGAAGCAGGCTTCCCACTGAGGAGGGAGCCCAATGCGGGGCTTGATCCCAGGACCCCGGGATCATGACCTGAGCCGAAGGCAGACACTTAACAACCGAGCCACCCAGGCACCCCACTGTGTTTGATTTTTTACACATCTATCTACCCATCCCTCTATCTACCCATCAATCCATGTTATTTTTCTGGGTACATGTCAAAGTAAATGGCAAATATTCACATACTTCTCTAAATACTTCACCATGCATATCACTAATTATACTTAAAATATGTTTACAGTTTGTTTCTTTTAAGGTAAAATTTACGTACAATGATGCACAAAGCTTAAGTGTGCATACACAGAATTTGACAAATGCATACACAGGTATAATCCACACCTACTCAAGATTAGAACGTTCTCATCACTCCAGAAAATTCCATTTTATTCTTTTTTAAGGATCCCAATTTTTTGGTGAAAACCCCCACACTTTCATCTAATTCATCCATCCTCTATTTTCTTGATCATATTAATCAGAATTGTTTTAAAATCCTTGTTGCCAACTCCAGAATTGGGATGATCTGAAGATCTGCTTCTACTGTCTCCTTTTTGCAAATGGTCTTACCTCCTTGTCATTTTTGCACTATATGCTGAACATTGTGGATAAAAGAACTAACTGTAAGAACCAGAGATGGCTCTAGATGATGCTCTCTTTTGCCAGAGATGTTTCCCCTTTCTTTTGTTAGGTACAGAGGGTAAGATGCTCATCACTGAATCCGATCAGGGACTGAGCTGAGTTAGGTCAGTGCTGGAGTTTTAATAAGATTCATTCCACAACTTAATTTTTTCTGATCTTAGAGCCTGATCTTTCCAGATTTTTGATGGGGAGTCTGTTGGGTCTTTGTCTCTTAATCTCTGGAAGACTGGAGAGGTTCTATTATCCTCTTTAGAGGATTTCAGCTTAATTCTTTCGCCTCCCACTGCATGTAGTTAGTTTCACAATATGGCCCCTGTTTTGAAGGAGAGACGGGTTGGGTGAGTTTGTATCAGTGAGTTGAATGCAGGCTCCTTCCCTGTGCAGTGTTTTTGTTTCCTAAATACCGCAGAGTGTAGGAGATTTCACTGTTGGTCTAGTCCAGGGTGAGTTGGCACCCACAAGCAGAAAATTCCTCCAGGGTAAAAATTCCTGGACATTGTCCTCTTACCTCGAAATGGGTCTGTCCCTTCTGGAAGTTTAATTCATCTTGTCCTCATTTCTTCCATAGCTTCCTGATATCCTGATTAAAAAAGCATAATTTTATAGTTAATATAGCCTTTTATTCCCTGCCATGACATACTGCACTTTACCCAAAAGTCTATGTACTAGAATTTTAATATTCATAAGTGATTTTGTGTTTCATATCTCATTTTCTTTCTTTTTTTTTTTTAACTCAGCCCTGTGCCTCTAAAGTCAATTCATGTTGCTATGTTCACAGCTAATCTGTTGTTTTTACTGCTGCAAAATATTTCATTTTACCTCCTCATTTGCTTGTTGATGAACACACATTTTGCTTGTACTCCTTGTGCCACAGAAAATGTACATTTCCCCTTTTG